AGATTGGTCTTGTGGGGGATAATTCAGTCAAGTCTCCTGGTATAGTTCATAAAGTTTTGGTCCACACCCTGGTTTGATGAATAGTGCCTGGGGTGTTAAAAGCCAGCGAGCAGCCAATATAACGACTGGTCATACTTCCTTGGAGGAGATGAACTACAGCACCGTCTGTCTCCATAAACCATTGACTCCTCCATCCAGAGGACAGAAGAATTAGATGGTGTCCAGCGACCCCTACAGAACAGGGGTAGACATGAAGAAAAATGGGCAACAACTGCCCTAAGGTATTCTCTACACCTTGAAGTGGAACATCCCCTGAAGTCACCTTCTAAATAGAGACAGGCTAGCTCAACAGGAATAGTACCCTTGGGCCTCCGATCTTCTCCAAGATGATCCGTGAGACCAGGCGGCTAGCAGTCATTCATTCTAAAGCACAGGTGAGAAGGGGATGGGGCAGGGGGCCTAGGTGACTGGGATATAGCAGCCAGAGGATGCTGACATTGCATCACGGAGCATGCTTCGGAGAAACTGAGCTGTGTAGACTTCCGCCAACAAGACAACCAAACATTTCAACATTAAGAAAGAAAGCAAAGGCCCAAGTATAAAATACATTCATGTGAAGGATGAAAAGGTAGATCTAACCCAGGACACTGGCCACCAAGACGGTTAGTGGAAAACTCAATGATTCTGACCCACAGTGACCCAACACGACAAAGGAGAACTGCCACACAGGGTTTCTGACACTGTCATCTTTGCAGCAGCACATGGGCACATCTTCCTCCCACAGAATGGTGAGTGGGCTTGAGTGGCTGACCTCTGAGAGCCTGGCTGGGTGTATAAGTCACTGTACCCACCCGCACTCTAGCCTCATGGGAAGGTCTGCCAATCAGCTGCTACTGTGGGAAGGGCTGTGTCTAACAGTATGTAATATTGCTACCAAAAGCACAGAACCCTATCTTCACACAGCTCCCAAACAACTCTTCTCATGTCCCCCTCCCTGAGTTACAAAGCACACAGAATGTGCCCACTTTATAAACATGCTCGAAGTCCCCGAGTTACAAAGCACACAGAATGTGCCCACTTTATAAACATGCTCGAAGTCCTCACTTACATAACTCTTCCTAGATACTATATATTTTCCCTCTTCTTA